CACACACACACACACACACACACACACACACACACACACACACACACACACACACACACACACACACACACACCTGGTGTTTCTTAGACATGCTTAAACACACACACATAAATACCCTGGCATCAGCCCCAGCCTTCTGTATTAATATGGGGCTGTTTGCTTAATCAGTGTGCAATAACAGGGTGATAGGAGGGTACACCTGCTGCTCAAGCACCTTTCTCATTACAGCAGATTTTCACATCCACTTTCACCATGCATACAAATACTTAATCTGCGTTAACACAAAGTGCCTTGGTGCCAAATTCCAAAGTCCCACTCATATTTATACACACTTTGCAATTGCAACGAGTTCTGTGAAATCTGCAACCGCTCTTCAGAATTCATGAAAAAAATGTATCAGATACTGAACTGTTTACCATAATTAAAATAAGGTTTGTGCCGCACATTAAAATGGGCTTTGAAAATATTTTATGAGCATTTTTGTACTTAAAATGTGTTTATTTTCCTATTCATTAGACAATACAGTACAATGCTATGTTTATTTAGGTCTTCATACATGGAACTGTACGTGTCTTTTTTCCTAGTGGTATTATTGCTTAATCTTCTGTGATAACATTACAAAACGTATGGCTTTAGATCTCTTGGATGAAAATTCTTTTTAGGTGAGGGGAATCCCAAAATCCCAATTTTACCCAAATCATAACTTGAAGCAACTGCATTAAAAGTTTTTGTCTCAAAGGGAGGTCTCTAGGTGTCTGGAAGTCTTGTTCCTGAGTGATTACAGGATGAGTCAAGTGATGGACTAACACATTATTTACCGTTATTCAAGGAGTCAAATTGCACAGAGATCAAAGATCTCTTTGGTAAGAGAGGCCTGGGTTCTTGGTAGGGGTGTCCCGATACCAATACCAGTATCGGTATCGGGTCCAATACCAGCATCAAGTGCTCATACTCGTACTTGTAAAAGCCGGCCGATCCTTTTACGATCCTTTTTTTACCTTTCTACCACTTTTGTCCCCTCCTGTGCTGCGCTGCAGCACAAAGGGTAAACAACAATCCATACCAGGCTGTGGTGCTAATGCACTGACAAGTTACTTCCGACCGCACCCCCGAATAACAGAAGAAGAACGATGAGAAGAAGAAGAAGTAACATGTCGGCAGTTTGGAGATATTTTAAGATCGGCATGGAGGACACCCAACCAGCAGACTGTCTGCTGTGCTCTGCTAAACCTGTCAAGAGGAGGAGCGAAAGTTGGATGTTTTAACAGCAGCAATTTGATTCAACATTTGAGGACAAGACATGACAAAGAATTCAAAGAGTTTGCTGCTGCTAGCAGTAGCCTTCATAAACAGCACTATGCTGCAGTTGTTGCAGTAACTTCAATGCTGTTTTTTTTTCTTGTAGAACAAACTAAGACATAAGCAGAATATGGAAGGAAGTTTGTTGTAAAAACATTTTATTTTTCACTGTGGTTCTTCTGAGATTTTGTTTTATTGTTCCATTTAAGTTTGAACTGAAATTTACTGCACTTTATTACCATTAGTCATTTTTTAACAGTTTAAGACTGAAGCTGAGTAAACTTCTATAGATGTGCTGATAAAATTTACGTTATTGTTTACATTTTAATTTAAATTTGGTAGTTGCATATTGAGGAAAATGTATAAAAATAACTTATTTTGTTTTTTAATGTATGCAACAGCATTTGTTTTGCAGTATTTGTATTCATACATACAGAGGGAGTGTGGCCTTATAAAAAGAGCCCTGTTTGAAATAAAATAAATGGTTTCAAAAGTTATGGTGTGATTTATGTACCAACTTATCTACTTGTCAGAGTTTGCACTACCTTTTTATTGTCAAACATAATATTTACCCATCAATTTTTGCATGATAATTGCATTTCATTTTCATTCTGTTTAATTTTCAACAAGTTGAACAGATAATCCCCACGAACCCCACTACTTGGTATCAGTATTGGTATCGGTGAGTACCTAAACTGAAGTACTCGTACTTTTACTCAGTCTTGAAAAAACTGGCATCGGGACACGCCTAGTTTTTGGACTGTTAGAGGAAACCAGAGTGCCTAGAGAAAACTGTTGCAAACACAAGTACCCGGTATATGCAAACTCCACATAGAAAAAGTCCAGGTCCAAACCAGAACTAGAACTGCAAAGCAGTTATTACTGGGGTCCAAGCCTGTTTATGCATGTCAACTTTGGCCCATATTGTCCCCAGAACCCTGTCAACTTGTGCACAACAGAGTTGTAACATGAGAAGTGAAAGAAAATACTTATGTGTGTTCATTACCAGGATGTGTGCTTAACCATACGGAGAATGTGCAATTGCATGGAAAGAATTATTAAAGAGGAACCATACAAAACCAAAGAGCACTCTTTGCTGAAATCTGGTTTAGTTGAGTGACCAAGAGTTCAGACCCAAAATCAGGAAGTACAATTGGTTTTAACAAAAAGCTCTGAGACATGGCTCTGCTGATTTGTTTACATCAACAGGAAGGGGAGTCCCTACTCTTCTTGAAGCCATGCCCTTCAGACACTAAAATATTTTCTAATGAAGATTTAAAAGTTCAGTTATGTGTTGAATTTGTTTTCAGGCACGTAGCTATTAATATAAAAATCATCAAGTTAAGCAAAACAGTCACATTTAACAATCATTACAGTTCTATCATAAAATTATACCATGTGTATGTAATTTAAATCAGTTATATAAAGCTAAGCCGCGATAATTTCTTCAGGAGTATGTGTAAGGTCTATTTGAGACCCTAATGTCCTAAATAGATCTAGGTCTCTAGAAACAGCTCACTTCATATGTCCTATGTTGCTTTTTAATTTTTTTTTATTTTTTGTCTTTTAACTGGCAGCTTTATTATTAACTTCCATAAAAAAAAAATATACCAACTGTGCCAAACCCAGGACTTTCTTGCTGTGAGGCAATGGTATTAACCACCAGAACATCATGCTGTCAGACTGGGGCCTTGCCAACAATAATTAGATTGCTCTTCCATCAGAGTATTGAAGCTGCTCCTTCACATCAGAAAGAGTCAATTGAGATGGTTTGGACATCTAAATAAGAAGTCTTCTAGATTCCTACATTTAGAGGTTTATCAGGCACATCCCACTGAGAGGACGTAACAGACGCAGAATTCACCAAAGAGAATAAGTTTTCTTAATTATTCTTTTAGGCCTGGGAATGCCTTGGGGTGTCGCTGGAGAGAAGATTGCCTGGACCTGTTACATCCAAGACCCAGTCAGGGATAAGCTTAAAAAAAGGAGAGAAAAATAGACGCAATACAAAATGATAGCATTTTATTTAATTTAGATTTCCACTCAGGTACAAACAAGCTACTTGATGCTCAAAAAGACTATTCAAAGTGTATTGTATTAGTATTCCAAATATACTGTAGCCCTTGTTCATGACTGAAGGTTAAAGTGAATTTATGTTTATATGATTCATTAATAAGTCAGATTGCAAATGGAACAAGTTATATCATGCTCCCAAAAAACAAAATAAAAATCAAAACAGAAACACATAAAACCATCCATGTACAATAGAGATTGAAGTGAACTGGATAGTGACCAATGTTGCAGGTGGATGAGAACACAGATTGTGAGTCCCAATGGTTAACTTATCACACTGTCCATTACGACTTGACTCAGAGAAAGTACATAGACTATTTATTGCCAGCTACCATGAACTGAATGTAACAATGTAAATACCTGTGTATACGTGTGTGTCTGTCTATTAGTAAATTATCTTATGAACCAGAGGACAAATTTGAATGAAATTGGTAAAGTAATCATTGGATAATACATTAACAACCAAATAACCTTTGGCTTAAATCCAATTAAATATGGTTACCACAGCTAATCAGCTTGAGCAACAACAAAAATAGTTATAATTCAGACTATTTTGCTGTTAAATTTTACGTTTTTGGTAACTTAGAGCCATCCCTGACAAGTAGTCTCAGCACCAACAGATCACATAAAACCAAGAAGGGCCTTTCCATGAAGATCCCTCATGACAGGTCACCATAACCAAGAGGAGAGTTCACTCACCCAATCTCTGGAGACCAAATTGTCCAAAGCCTTTTCCTCTGACAAATCCCTGGTACACAAAGGAGTTGGATGAAGAAATGTAGGACACCTACGAAGAGGGAGAGATGGAGAAGAAACATTTTGTGTGTCACATCAAGTGGGTGTATCATCAAAGTGTCAGCAGTTGGTGCATGCACAAAATGAAATATCATGTCAAAAACAGCTGAGAGGTGCTCTTACAGCTGACATTTCCTGTGACGCTTTTCAGCTAAAGATGACAAACAAATACGCACTGCCACGCAAGCACAAGAGCCACATGAGAGGCACACTCCAATTTGCAGGAGACACCCTTGAAACACTCATGTGCACATCTTGTAAAATGGCTCATAAAAGCAGAAATGCAGTAACACCCAATCACATGTGCTTTGACCTGCTTTATTTTAATTAAATCAGGAGTGTTTGCATTAGAGGTGCTGGAGGTTGGGGGTAATATGGGAAAGAGGAGCGAGGGCGTCTGTCGAGTCCTGATTACCAAGCAATGATTTAACTGACATTTTAATTAAAGAGAAATCTCTCTGTAGGCCCTCCATCTCCCTAGAGTGACAAGGTTAGTGTGTGTGGATGCTTGTGTGTATTTCACCCTGAAGATGTGTGTGTGATGGAACATCTTTGCAGTACAAAGAAAGGTGCAGGAATGGATGGGCCTTGAACTTACATGTCCATCCAGGGCCCAGTTGTCTATTTTGAACTTGTTGACAAAGATCTCCACAGGACCTCTGATCTGGTGGACCTGTAGCAGCAGCTGGGCTTCCTCCCTTTTATATGTACCTACGGGGAAATATTATACAGTCAGTTTGAGAACAACATCCACTTTTAGTGCTTCTGTATTCTTCTTGAGCTAGTGTTTGTTACAAGTTTAGTAAGGGGTGCAACAATACAGGAAATTCACAATTCGGTTCGGTTCGATACTTTAGTCTCATGGTTCGATATTTTTTCGATACAAAAAGAAATTTCCATGACTTTTAACTTGTAATTTATTTAAATTAATTATGAACATTTGTTTAACCTCAAAAGTACAGTTTTTAAATTGAATGTTGCTGAAACAGCAAGTTTCTCAGTGGATCTGCGTTCAAAAATGCAGCGTAGGTGGTGTAGTCGAACACAGATCCACTGATCCTTTAATACACAGCAGCTTCAGAAGACAAGTTGATAAAATAAATTTGAAAAATCTGCATTGTTTGATACAAGTGTGTATTGAACCTAAAGCACTGTTCGATATGGTTCGACACAGGTACATGTATTGTTGCACCCCTAATGTTTAGTTATGCAGTGCCTTTGCTTTATTGCTGTCTTCTGCTCAAGTCATACTAGGTTTCTATTTCTAAATATCTCACACATTGCATTAGGTTATTGCTTCCAGCACAAAATCCTTGGCACCTAAGTTGTCATTGTTTGTCTCTGCTGTGCCTAATTAAGTTCAGTTTCTGACATTTTCATGTTCTGGAGTTTAAGCTTTTGGAATAATTGCCTCTGCAGTGTGTTTTGCATTTTTTTTATTTATTTTTTTCATCAACTGCCATCTGCTTGTTCAATGCCATGTAAATTGCACAGCTTAAATTTATAAAACAAAAAGCTAACATGTTTTTGCTGTAAAGTATTGCTGATAAAATCTGTTTTTCTACTTTGTGATGAAGACTGATGATATCCCGGGGAAAATAATTCAGGTGTCCTGGCTCCTAATGCCTCAGATTTGTCTCTTCACAGCTGGACAGTGATTGTGTCAAAAAAAAGTGCAAGGTACTGTTCCAACACCAGTAATCTACAGTAGATCTGGCAGGAGCCAAACTGACTTCTTGAATGTTTTAGATACTGTATTTTCCTGATCATAAGTCACACTTTTTTTAATAGTCTGGCTGGTCTAGTGACTTATACTCCAGAATAGTGGTGGGATTCGATTAAAAATTTTAATCGAGTTAATTACTGGCTCTGTAATTAATTAATCACAATTAATCGCAAACATATTTCAACAAATTAAACAATTTCATTTTTTAAAAATCCTTTTGCTACTAATATTGAATGAATAGACATACGTTTAACAACAAATGTTTATTGCTTTTGAAATGTTTTTTTGATTGTTATTAAACCAACAGATTGGGCAAAGTGCTAATAGTTATTCATATTTCAAGTATTTCAGGAACGTGACACTGTTCAACATATTTGAAAAATAAAAAATAAATATAAACAGCACTCTAGACAATAATGAGAGCACCATGTCTTCTACAGAACTGTAAAAATTAAAATAAAAAAAAAAAAACTACACGATGCTGGAACTCTTGTGAGAGTTTAACAAATGTTGTAAACATAAATTAAAGTGTCATTTCTAAAGTGAAAACAGAATTATGCCAAAACAACATATTGCATTTAAGAGCTTAAAATTTAACAGAACATTCAGCCCACAATATGTTGGACAACCAAAACATAGAACGCTGAGGCTACCTTTTCTATTTGAGCCAGTTACTGAGACAGACGAGCCTGTTTACATTTTCAGAGCTTAAGGCTGCTCTTTTCTTCTGGATGATGTTCCCAGCAAGGATGATGTTCCCAGCAAGTGAGAACACCCTCTCACATGGGACAGAAGTGGCAGGGCTTGCTAGGTACTTTCTAGCCAGAGTGGAGAGCTGTGGATGTGCCCCTGCATGTGCTGACTACTATTGGAGAGGGCAGTCTGTCTCACTGATTGTCTTTTCTGCTTTATAGATGCTCAAGGCATGGTTAGAACCCACATCAACAGAGTTAAAGTCAGAGTCAGAAGAAAAGCACAAGAGGCCTTTCTTTTTTGGTGGCTCATCTGTGGGCTCAGAAGTAGCTGTTGTAGATCCATCTTGAAGGAGTTCTTCAAGCTTCTTCCACACGCCTTCTCGCTCTTCTCTTGGAAGACATTTTAAGTCCTTAAAGCGAGGGTCAAGTACTGTAGCCATTTTGAGCCAGTCATCATTAAGTGCAGCTTTCCGCTCTGACAAGTCCTTCATGAAGGCAGTCTTGAATTTCACTATGTAGGTAGAATCTTCATCAGAGACCTTCATAGTGTAGTCCAGGAATCGTAGGACAGTCAAGACCACAGAACATGAGACATAAGTCTCTCCACCAAGAAGATCAGTCACATGTCTGCAGTGAGAAAAAAATAAAAATAAATTAATCAATTATACTGATCAATTTAGGCAATAATAATTTAGGAAATATTTAACATTGTTCCATTTACCTGCATGGTTCAAGGATGGCGGTCAACTTCTCTAGTTTTGTCCACTCTGCTGCTGACAATAAGACCAGTTTGTGCTTCTGTTTGTCCAGAGCAGCCTTTACTGCCTCTTTGTTTTTGAGAAGACGACGGATCATAAACAGTGTGGAGTTCCACCTTGTGGAAACATCCAGGATTAGGGGTTCATTTTCCTGGTCAAGTGCCCTTTGCTCTTGATACAGTTCCATTGTGTTGGCTGGGCTGTGTCTGAAATGACCCACAATCTTACGGCACTTTAATCAGTACATCGTTAAATCCACAACTGTCCAGGCACACAGTGATGGATCTCTGCAAAATATGTGCAACACATGGCATGTGCTGAAATGGGAGCCGTTTTGCTGCTGCCATCATGCCATCATGTCAGTCGGTGCCAATTGTTGTAACCTTTTTCTCAGTTTCCCAGGACTCAGCCACAGAAAAAAAAACTGGACTGCGCAGTTTACTGCATAATGTCTGGTGTTGACTTTTTCAACAGTAAGGACAAAAGACGCTAATTGCCATTCTTTGTTGACAACGCATGTTGTGTGTGCAGTCACGCCAAGGTAGCTAGAATTGCTGATGGAAGTCCAATTGTCCCCTGTCAATGCAACACACTCAACTGCATTCAATATGTCTTGTTTTGACTGCTTTTCGTCATCATAAAGCTGCTCAATCTTACTTGCCATGGTTTTTCTACACAGGAGTTTGTGAGCAGGGTCAGATGTCGCTATCTGTAACACGGACTGTAGCCCGCTATCCTCTACCACTGAAAGTGGTCTGCAGTCTGTTGCGATCCATTTTGCCAAGGAGTTGCTTAATTTCTCTGAAGTAGACTTACTTATTTTGGCTCTGAAACCTGTCATCTGGTCCAGTGTGGGCTGGCTGGAGCATTTATTTGTACCGCTGCCAGGGGTGCTGACATTAGCAGTGGAGACATTAGCTGTGCTAGCCGCGACATGTTTTGCATTCAGATGGTGTTTTAGGCTTGAGTAGCTTTGGTGATAAGCGAACTCCTTCTTGCACAACTTGCATAAAACAGTAGTCTTTTCGAAAGTCCCATCAGAACGTTTTTTTAAAGCTAAAGGTGTCCCTCAGTGGGCCAAGAGAAGCGGCTTTGTCGTCCATCGTCCATGTCGCTTGTGCATCCAATTTACAGGTGTGCTAGAAAAACGCGTTGCAAATACAAAGGGTCCGGCTCCAAACTTAAAACAAATTAGAATAATTGTGATGAAATTTTTAACGCATTAAAATCTTTGTAATCAATTAATCAAAATTAACGCGTTAAATTCCCGGCCCTAGTTTTTTTGTCTTCTTCATGACATTTTTTGACTGATGCATTAAATGCACAGACTGACACGAACCAAGTAGTAAACATTACCATCTGCAACAGTGAGAGGGTGCTCTAGGCTTGTGACAACTGAGGACAGTAAACTAATTATAGTAGCTAATGTTAGCTTGATGTTGATACTGTAACTTGTTATTTTGGCATCTTGTTGTTAGTTGAACTTGTGTGAACAACAAAACAAATAAACTTTAAACTTGTTGCAAACGATTCACATAAAGTTGCTCAGATCTGTATTATCTGTCTCTGTTAATTAAGACTATCCGGCATGACAGGAGGTAGGTTCTGTGTGTCATAGTGTTATTCCAGATTAAATGTCTGATCTGATGTGACTTGTACTCCAAAGTGACTTATAGTTGGGAAAATACAGTTGTTATCAGTAGGATTTCTGACATCATTTTCAAAGAAAAAAGTCAAACAATGCACTTTTAAGGCCCTGTCCATCAATATGGGGCACTCACCTGACAGTTTAAGTTCAACTCCACTGTGGTCGATGAGTGTCCCATTAACTCGATTGCTAAAATGTTCAAAGGCAGTGATGCTGAGCATGGCCGGCTGCTTCTTCCCTAGGTACTCATAAGACCCTCTCCAGAGTGAATTCTTAGCAAACACACCACCAGGGACTGAAAGACACATGACATATGGGTGCTCATTAATTGAATTTCTGTGATTTTAAACTATTTTCTGTCCTTATAATGAAAGCTTGTAAGTGTTTAACTCAGTATGTACCTTTCTTACCAGGTAACTTAGATGGTGGCTCTTGAACAGTTCCCACTGGACTCTTTCCACTCGGGCGGTTATCAGCTGAAAAGCACAATACACATAAAAAAACCACAAAGGATACCTTAAAAAAAGCAGAGACTCCCAGCACAGTGTGTAATTCAGGAGGTGAAAACAGAAAAAAAGACCTAATATTTTCTTCAGATATAACAGCTGTAAGGACAGTTGCACCTCCTGTCTACAACTAATAACCCCTGTGGAAGCTGGAGCGAAGGCTGCCTGTGACAGGACTTGACTCGTGTCAAAAAGCGTCCTGAGCTTCCCCTGCAGGGTTTGGTCTAAATCAGAGGGACACTTTCACAGCTTCAGTGGAGACACTTTAATAATGTCTTACGGCTCACATGGGGCTACATCACAGTAGTAAACATACACCCACACGTATAAACAGAAGGAACATAGCTTTATACACAACTCTAAACAAAGACAGGTATACTGATGGTGTTTTATGAGGATAAAAACTGCATCAGATAAGGCTATAAAGATACACTAACACAAACCATACACACATTTTTCCACAGTATTGTGCTTTATTAGCTGTCAGACCTCAGAGCTGCCCTTCCATCACAGCGCCCACAGGCGCTGTTAATGTCCTCTATGTGCAAAGGCCAAATCTCTGCCTTGCCTTTACTCCTAATGGCACAGCCTAAAAATTACCCATCACCCTGTATTTTGCAGCAATGGCTTGATAAAGAATCCATCACATGGCTGTCCACCTCTATTACATTGTTCTTCTTCAGTCATCAGTATTTTGCTAAACAAGATAATTGCTTGTCCATTAGTCACTTTTTTTTCCTTTATGCATTTAAGTCAATGCTTTTGGGAGTCTTAATAGCCACCTATTAGTCTACTAGAACTTGTTAACAATGTCTGGTAATTTGTAAGACGTATGTCTGCTTAACTTAACTGAAGTGCTGGTCTAATTAGGTTAATGTTAATGTTTTAAAGCCTGCAGATCTGTGTTTCTGTATGTGAGTGTTAAGTTTCAAGCAGACTTTATTGCATGATATTGGATCATTTAATGATAATATTCTGACGTGTCTGAGAATAACCAATTGTTCACAGAGTTAAATCAACAAGATGTGATGCCAGTTACAAAGCTGAGTTATCAATGAGTTAGAAGATTGTATAGAACACAATAAAAAATAGTTAGAGAAACTTCCAGTTGAAAAGCAAAGATGTATACAAGCTTGGGCACAAATGGTCAAATTTATGTATATGCAAACATATTTCTGACATTTTCCAAAATTTATAATGATGATTTATTTTATTAATGTTCTGAAAAGAACATTCCAGTCTCTCCCCCCCAAAAATATTAATAATAGGATGAGTTAGTCACAAGACACCGGTTTAAGGGAGATACCATCCCTTTAAATCCATTTTTTTCCACATGTAAATCATTCTGATGGGGTCTATTTAAAGTGGAACTGCAATGCTTTGGTCTGAATTTCTCCTTATTGTAACTCCACAAGCCCCCCTTTCACACATTGGGAATCATTACAACTTGTTTTGCAGATAGAGCTTTAAGTTCTTGATTAAGGACAGTCACAAACCTCTCAGGTAAAAAACACTTTTGGTTCTGAGAAATTGTTGAGCAATATTGCATATCTATCTCTGTTGGGGTCTCACAACATAGTTCAATTGGTTCAGAAAACAGAGTTTGACCAACATTTTAGCTGTGGCTTTTGAGGTTTTTTGAATATTCTTGTGTTTTTTGAAGCAATACTTAAGAAGACACAAACTTTAAGAATATACTTTAACTTTTTTCTCTTTTTTTTTTTGTTTAGCAGCAGACTAGTAGTTTACAAATCCATTTTTTTTTGTCTATCATAGGAATACACCCACCAGCTCAAAGCATGATTGATCAAACCCTGTGATAAACTGTTTGCACTTTTGGTTTTGTAAAAACAGACTTTTGCTCACTGTTATAAAATACGTTTGTTTCAACTCCATCCGTCAACGGGGCTCATTCCTCTGCCAAGGCCAGAACTGAAGGGGAACCAAGTAATCACTGCTGTCTGCTAGTTTTCTCACAATGAAACCAAATTCCAAGCAACACAATGACGTTTTGAAACATGGGAAAAGAAAATGGCTGTTAAAATTTGGATCACCGTTGTTACAGTTTTAACATTTGTGGCAGAGGAATTCTGAGTAACTGACCTCTGAGAGTGTTGAGCAGCTGCTACTCAGACTTATTTATTTATTTATTTATTTATTTATTTATTTATTTATTTATTTATTTATTTATTTATTGGGGGGGGTGGGGGTGTATTGTTGTAGTGAAATGATTGCTGAATAATACCAAAACTTCATGTTTGGTTTTCAATGGGGAAAGCTGAGAAGTGCTTATCTTCACAGCCTTTTTAATGTACATGATTTGGAAAACTTGCCAGGGTCAGTTTGTATTTCTTTCTTTATTTACATACACAAATTTTGTAAACTTCCATAAGCTTCATAAGTGTGTGAGTGTGTGTGTGTGTGGGGGGGGGGGATCATTAGCCATCCATTTTCCTAAGGGTCATTGGTACCCACAGTCACTGTGTAAGTCCATCACAAAACCACACAGAGACAAATTAGACAAAAAATATTTACACTAACATAAGGTCTATGGGGGGGGAAACTAGAGTACCCGGAGAAAACCCACGCATGCACAGAGAGAACAGCCAAACTCTACCTAGTGAGGGCCCCTGCCGGGATTTGATCCAGCAACTATTTTTTCTGAGCAGCAACAGCTCTTCGGACTGAGTTATTGTGCCCAGGTTTCGTTATTTTATGATATTATCATTTATCACAATAATTCCTGAGACAATTTATCATCCAGCAAAATTTGGTATTGTGCCAGGCCTATCCAAGAGGTGAAATTGAATTTTTTTTATATACCTGCACACGATGGTGGTTTCCCTGACCAGCTCCCATCAGACCTGCAGGTTCTGTGTTCTGATCCTCCAGCCAAGTAGAAGCCAGGCTGACACGTATAGATCAGTGTGTAGCCAAGAGACGGCAGTTCAATGGCTCTCACGTCAGTCTGGGCTGGCAGCTCGGGCTGGCTGCAGTGGTGGGCTGCAGAGACAAGGATAAGGATTCATGGGACCGAAAAGAAATAAATGGGGAAAAAAGAGAAATGATTAAATAAGGAACAAAAATAGAAAGAGCATATTGATGTATGAAAGGTGCAGAAATTCACACAGACAAGATGGAGTTGGGGAGGGCATGAAAAATGTAGGTGTCAGGTTTTGTGTAATCCAAACTTTAATGCATTCTCACATTTTAAAACCAACTCCACATGTGTTTTTTATGAGTTTTAATTTCAGTCAAAGCACACCATGTTCTTACCAATGCACTCAGGCTGAAATCCACTCCAGGTGAGGTTGGGCAAACATGTGCGAGAAATGGAGCCCTGCAGTAAGTAACCTTTTCTGCAGCTGAAGAACACGGTGCTACCAATCTGTAACAAAACACAACAGAATGATGGCTGGAAATTAAAAAAAACACAGGTTTTTCACAGTTTTTTGCAGTGTAAATAAGCATGCAATATATTTAACATTTTACTTAGTGTTCTTTTGTGAAAAGTCTGTTTTAAAATATCATTTGAAGCATTTATGTGTTATCTCTTAACACACATAAAGCTATATGTCATGTCGTATGTTTCACCTATAATGAAAGGATGAAATTATATATTATGTGTAAAAAAAATCTGGCTACAACTAAAATATATTTTCATTCAATGTAGATGTAAACGTATATTATAATGAAATGTTGCAGCCTGATATCTGAGGAAAAAGAACCTGAGGGAAGATCTTTTTATTTTATATCATCACTACTGCAGTTTTAACTGATTCAGTCTTGCAGTCTACAATTGAAAAAAACATAACAGAAAAAAACAGAAGTACATGTTGCTACATGAAGGTAAAAGAAAAATGCCCTTTAGTGATTTAATTGGATTTTTCTTCAGTGTATGAACCCTTTTTTCCTGTGTGACACCATTTTCACACCTGGCTGCCTTGGCTGTTGTTCTGGTTTCCAAAGAGAGGGTTACCAGGATCTCCACAGGTAGTGTGAGTGGGATCTGAAACAAACAACACAAATCTTTTTGTAACTACTCTCAGTTTCTAACATGTCCACGTTGACATAGCACAACATGGCCTGAAAAGTTTAGGAACAAATTCAAAAACGTAAAATAAATTTTTATGCACTGCACCGAGTTTGCATGTTCTCCCCAGGTGGGTGCAGCCTGCCTCACACACATTCATTTCTCAATACTGAATATAAACAACTCATAATTCTTGGCTACAGGATGTGACTCTGTTGATTTCACTTATTTATTTCGAATTGTGTGGTAAAGTTTTTAGTAGTGAGTGATGTATATTTAGTGGTTATTTTCTTCCCGTCGCTAATGCGGGGGGCTTAGAAATGTTTTCCATCTGTCAGTTGTTTTGTCCGTCCATCTGTCCATTCGTCCATTACAATTTAAAAGAATCTGCAACTTTCACTTAAAAATTAATACACCAAACTTGTTATGAGTCAAGCCATGTTGCATCATCAAAGCCCCGCCCCTGACAACAGAAGGAGGCCTTTGATTTTTTTTTTTTTTTTTGGCTTGGGAATTTCCATCTCTGACCCTCTTGACCTAATCACCAACAAATTGGGTTACAGATATCACTTGCTTTCAAGCACAGAGACATTTTGGTCCAAGGCAGGGTCATGGTGGTGCGGCGAAGCCAGACATCATGCTGTTGACATACATTTGGCTCTAAATTCCACATATTTCAGCCAATCTGCACCCAATTAACTATGGTCGATCCTAAACCACCCCACTACAGAAATTTGGTACACATGTGCAACGTTTCAGAACCTAAAAAAATTATCTTGGAGTCATGGACCAAACCCCACAGAAAGTCAGTCATTTTTGAATCAAAGCTGCCAATTTGTCTCTTTTCTGGTACATGTGTCTGAGCTAACTCTCCCTACAGCTTTGAACATGTGTGGCAGAGTGGTGTATGCTGACGCCTCGCCGTTTGCACACGGTTACCTCTAAATCACACATATATGATCAGATCTGCGCCAAATTTGGTGTGCATCGTCAGGGAGACCGGATGCATCAGAGAATGAAAACGACCAAATTGTAGTTGGTAAGTCCATAATTTATTTAGCAATTCCGTTGAAAATATTGTGATGTTATAGTTCAGAAAACATCATAGAAAATAGAGAAAACTGATCAGGTTGAAATATATGACAACAATAATGTAAATATATCCTTGCAGCACTGGGATAAACTAAGTTCAGCTTTTCTTCACTCCTAGAGACTCTAAATACACAACAAAATGCATTTAATGGCAAAAAAGTGAATTTCGCATATGTCATCTTTAACATCATCAGTCGCTCAGTCAGCACCTCATTACATTGATTTTCAGGACAATATAACCTAAAGTTACTACACAAGAAGAAATTAAATTGCAGCTGACCTATGCAGGAGGGTGGTGTGCCGCTCCAAGTGCCATCATACTGGCAGTACCGCCTGGCTGAACCAACCAAGACAAGTGGAGAGTTGCAGGTGAAGGAGATAGAGGAAAGATAGGTGAAACCACGGTCCTCCCTCCTCCCTTGAGCAGGTATTCCAGGGTCTCCACAGAATACAGCTGTAAAGAGGTGTAAAGAAAAGGATGTAGGGGAGGGGAAGACAAATGAGGTGACCCGCAACTCATGTCAGGTTCTAATTAGATTCTCCAGAAGGCATGATACATCATTTGTGGGTTAGACAGTTGTAAGGACAAATCATGATATGTAAAGGAACTGGGTATTTCAGTGTAACGATACTTACGGAAACACTGTGGTTTCTCTCCGCTCCAGTTGCCGTTGCCCTGACATGTTAACACTGTAGGCAGGGACAGTTGGTAGCCTTGGTTACACGAGTAGCTAATGCTTGAACCCCAAGTGAAGTCTGTACCAACCACTTGTCCATTGGGAATAAAGGGTGGTGGACCACAAACAATGGCTACAAGAGGACAAAAAAAAGGCATATTAGTTTAAAATCTGTCCACATTTGCACAAACTTATTTTTTTAACCATCAAAGACAAACATACCTCTGCAAAGCGGTTTTGTGCCGTTCCAGGTTCGATCCTTTGTGCATGTGAGGGAAGAGGCCCTGTCAGCATCCATGGTATACCCAGGAGAGCACTGGAAACTGACTGTGTGGTTGTAAGTGAAATCACTCCCAAACCTGACCCCGTTTGCTGGCACTCCAGGATCTCCACAGTTGATTACTGCAAAAACAGAATGGTATAAAAAAACAAGTTACCATAATTATACACTCAAACACCTACATTTTGTTATATTTTGTTGTCTGATTAAGTTTAAAAAACGTGATTTGAATTTGTTTTATACTGAATTTTACTTGGTAAGACATATTGATAAATTAGATAATATGAATGTTTAAACTAAATGAATAATTTATGTTAAGATATATTAGTATGAGATTAGATTTGTGACAATAATATTGAGAAAAACTCTTAGATGTTCAAACAAAAAATAAGAATTTGATAAAAAGTAATATTGAAATAATTGTTTCAAAAGTAAAGCTTACAATCTGCAATCAAATTCTTAATTTTTGTTTGAAGATCTGAGTGTTTCTCAATCATTTAGGCACAAGAATAACCTCGTATATTAGGTTCTTAAAAAAATAAGCACTTTTAAGAAATATTGAAGTAAATTGTATTTCATTCGACAAAGCTTAAAAAAGAACCACATTTCTCCTTGACTCTACTTTCCCGTTCTGTTGGGAAAAGAGTGTGAAGGAGTAACCGCAGAAGTCCACTTTGTGAGTTGGCTGCAATGCAGCTCAGCTTTGCAGTAAATGTCTCAGAAGGAAAAGGGCACACAACTACCAGTGTCTAAGTTGCCTTGGTGCAATAGGGCTTTGTTAAAAGTGTACATCCAACACATTTGAGAAAAAAAAAAACTCCTAAGTGGGACAAGGAAAGTAGGATTCTCAGCAAGATTTAAGATGTTCCAGAAAAAAAGACCCTCTACACCATCTATTTTTCATTTCCTAAAAATGAACATCTATAAGTCTGATATCTGAAAACCATAAATGCTTCTGCTGTAGTTTCATCCTCTCCACTGAGAAAACCAAAAATGTTTGACCTTTGTTTAACTGGAGCCAGTTAGCTTTAGAGCAGCTGTGTCTTTTTGAGACATGTTGACAAAAATCTGAGGCTGTGTCCTCTGAATGGGCCATAACTTATAGATAAGTTTTAGCTACTCACCCATTAAACATAAGCAACTCATTATTCAAACAGTTACTGTCACAAGCAATGAAGTTCAATCTTCTCATAAGTCTGTATAAAGTAAAATACATGGTAACCATTCCCATTTTACTTCTTCTCTGTACTGAAAAGAACTGTAAAGTGTAAATAATTGCTGAATCAAAATAAATATAAAAAAGTCAATTAAGGCAAGAGACAAAAAAGTGCTGATCAGAACGCATATATTGTCTTGTTTAAGAACCAACTAATATTTGAAAAAAAAAAGCAATCAAAAGTTGCTTTTTGTGGGTCCATTTATGGCTGAAATACATCATTACTTGACCTGTTTAGACCAGCATGTTACTGTTATATTATACACCCATGTCAAATACAAATTATCCAATTTTTAGTTTTCTACAGTGTGAAACTTATGTAATAAACATATTGTTTCTGTTGACAAATATCAGAGAAGTTTATATATATCTATATATATATAT